ATTGAGCACAAAGGCAACCGATCGCCGGAGTATCTTTTGCAGGTACCTCCCCCCTAGAGCACAAAGGCAACCAATCGGCCAAGGCTGACGTGACCGAACAGCCCAGAAGGAAGAAAGGCAAACGACTTAGGCGACCCATCAAAGGACGAGCATTCGGTCTATTTTGCAGGAGAGCGAGCGATAGAGTCATCCAGAAGCGGCAAAGTCACGTGGCTCGGTCCCACAAAAATATCTACCAAAACATTTTGGCGCCCACCATGAGGCTGAGAGCAAGCAGAAGACACCCAGATGGTGACCACGAGGAGCATGGATGGACAACAAAATACCAGAGATTTGATAGTGCAAATACAAGCACAGGCAAGAACCATACAGGCACAGGTGAAGCATGCAGAGGAGATTGCGACGCTAAGGGCGAAACGAGTCCATACCGAGTGGTCCGCCTCCAACCACAAGAATGGAAATGAGGGAAGTAGTAATCGGCAGCCATACTAGCACACCAACCTGAACAGTCGAAGAAGGAGAGGACCTTCGCCCATCCAAAACGTTCGGCCAACCAGCTTACTCCCTTTTACGACAACCATCATGCAAACTCCAATGCCAGAGAAGAATCCTCCGGTATTAGAGAAGTATGATGGCTCAACGGATCCCGACAATCACCTTAGGATCTTCACCAATGCAATGGCATTCTACACGGACAACAAACTGGTCATATGCAGAGCCTTCTCCTTATCGCTCAAGGACGAAGCATTGGAGTTGTATAACACTCTTTCCCCAAACACAGTGGATTGCTTCGCCACTATAGAAATCCTCTTTAGAAGGCAATACGCCTTCAATCAGAAACAATATATAACACTAGCGGAATTGGTAAATACTAAACAGGAGAAAGGGAAAACTTTGAAAGCCTTTATGAAAAGGTATAATAAAACCGCACAACGAGTTAAAGATGTTAATCACACTTTTATCATCAGCAACCTGCCTTCATGTCTAAGGTCAGGATATATTGCTGAAAAACTATATGCACGACCACCAAAAACAATTGATGAACTTCAGGAAAGGATAACTGAGTTTGTTCGTATGGAGGACATGAGGAGCTCACAACGAAAGCAACAACAGGAAGCTGATGTAAGCGGAAAGAGAAAGGACAACAGACAAACGTTCTACAACTACGACAAGGGAGGGGGTTCTCGACCAAAGGACTTCCCTCGAATGCCAAAGTTTGATCATTACACAACTATCAATGCACCCAGGGCAAAAATCCTTGATGAAGCCCTTAGTGCCGAACTACTTTCGGTCAGGAAGCTTCATTTACCTAATAATGCTTATGGAAGAAAGCACTGCCAATACCATCAAAACCTAGGACATACTTTCAAAGAGTGTGTGACACTCAAAGATAAAATCGAAGAGCTCATTCGTGTCAGCCATCTTCGTAAGTACGTAAAGACGGATCGATCGCGGATAAGAAGCTCATCAAGGNTGTGACACTCAAAGATAAAATCGAAGAGCTCATTCGTGTCAGCCATCTTCGTAAGTACGTAAAGACGGATCGATCGCGGATAAGAAGCTCATCAAGGTCTCTACAAAGAAATACCAAACGACCTCATAGAAAGGAGGAGCAGAAACATAGGCGGAGTCGCAGCCGCAACCCTATCTTTGACCACAGAATCCTGAGGTGCATCAACTAGAAGTCTTATGCAGGTGACAGGACCATGCAGACCACTCGGCCAAGAGGAGTGCAAGAACTGAGAGGTAAAATCCCTCTCATTGAAGAAAAGACCAAGAGGTAAATCCCTCTCGATCAAGAGGTGAATCCCTCTCGCCAGAAAGTTGAAGTCAAAGACCGAGAGGTAAATCCCTCTCGGTCGAGAAGTAAATTTCTCTCGCCAGAAAGTCAAAGTCAAAGACCGAGAGGTAAATCCCTCTCGACCGAGAGGTAAATCCTCTTGATTGAAAGGTAAATCCCTCTCGTTGAAGACGAAGACTGAAGAGGTAAATCCCTCTCGTTGAAGACGAAGACTGAAGAGGTAAATCCCTCTCAGAAGTAAGCCATCATTGGTGTCAACAAAACCCAGGGAACGCTCTCCGAGAATCCCTGGTCCTAAACCGAGCGGTGAGGTTCTATACGGCCTCACTCTCGTCCTAAACCGAGCGGTGAGGGTCTATACGGCCTCACTCTCGTACTAAATCGAGTGGTGGGGAACGTTTTAAGTGAAAGCTCACTCTCGTCCAGGCCGAACGGTAAAGCCCATTCCCTAGGAAGAACTCCTAGGTCAAAGTCAAAGCAAAGAGGTAAAGCCCTCTCACTAGGAAGTTCTCCAGGAACCCCTAGTGCAAAGCCGAACGAAAAAGATCGTCCTCTAGGAAGTTCCAAAATTAACTCCTACGCTGAAAAATCGAGTGGTGTTGAACGTCCCCAAGGACTAACACTCTCGTCCTAAACCAAGTGGTGGGGAACATTCTCAATGAACGCTCACTCTCGTCCACAAATGTTCGGCCACTCGGCTTCAGGTATTCGGCCATTCGGCCTACACTTCTCGGCCTTCCATGGCCTCAGGTGGTAAGTTCATTTGACATCCACTACTTAAACCGTCCGGCCCAAAGAAGAAGCAACGATGTGAAGCACATGGAAAGCAAGCTCCTTACTACAAGAAAAACAGCCTCCCTCAAACTCATAAGTCCTATAGTTAACCATGGCTAAAGTCGAACGCTTAACTCGGACTTGAGGGACATAATGTATCGTACCCAATGGAGGCCGAATGGTTAACATTAAGCACCGTTCGGTCCATCCACTTAGGTCAAAGATTGGGGCGCAATTAGGCCAGTGCTTAAGTTGTTGTTAGGCCAACAGTCCAACAGATGATAAAATAATCAAAGAATATCTAATTAAAGATATTGATAATCAGGTTATAAACAACCAACCGGATTTTCAGGTAATTTGTTTATATTTTATTCTGTTTATATTTTGTTGGGCGTGTATCAGCTCAGGATCCATGAGGTAAATTATAACTACAAAGCCAGGGTCGAAAGCCAAGTACGTTCCACTTACCCATTATTCACTCTATGCTACTCTCAAATACTCAATAGTGATAACCATTCACTAAATATTCAACCAAGAACCGAGACTCTTCAAATCACACGCCTAACTTGAGTGTCGGAGTATCTTTTGCAGGTACCTCCCCCTTGTAGCACAAAGGCAACCGATCGGCCAAGGCTGACGTGACTGAACGACCCAAAAGGAAGAAAGGCGAACGACTCAGGCGACCCATCAAAGGACGAGCGTTCGGTCTATATTACAAGAGAGCAAGCGGTAGAGTCATCCAGAAGCGGCAAAGTCATGTGTCTCGGTCCCACAAAAATATCAACCGAAACAAAACTAAATATTTGTATGGTAGGCAATTAAAAGATTAGAATATGTATAAATAAGTAGAATTCTATGGAGGACTCAAAGATTCTAATTTAAATAACTAAAATTTATAATACAAGTTAATTATCTAAAAAAAATTTGACGAGAGAAAACTTTAACATTTTTAAGACCATATTTTTGATCAAGATTGTTAAAATATTATATTTATTTTCTTTTTATTTTTAATTTTAGTTTATATATTATTATTTTTTATTTATATTTTGAATTTAGTTCATCTCTTTTTATTATAAATAAAAGATTATGTATATATTGAACACAGAAAAAAAATTAATCTAATACATCATTTTCATTATATTAAAAAAATTATTATAAATTTTTTTAAATATTTAATATAATCATATAATTCAAGCATAAATCCGAACCTATTGATTAAAACGAGACTACATATACACAGTCACTACAAGAAAAAAGTGAATTACATACAGCAAAAATCCGTATATAAGACCTAAAATCCATATATAATATTTGGTTATATACGGATTACACACGGGCAAAAATCCATATATAATACTATCGTAGCTAGGTTTATATATGGATAAATCTTTATATAATTTATATACGGAAATTATATACGGATATATCCGTATATACACTATATACGGATAAATCCGTATATAACCTATATACGGAAGTTATATACGGATAAATCCGTATATAACTTATATACTGATAAATCCGTATATAATATATATACGGATAAATCTGTATATAACCTATATACGGATAAATCCGTATATAATGGTTTAAGAATAGCTAAATATATACCCTGTATATTGCAGTTTCTCATGCACAATATACAAGCATACTTGGACATTATAGTGAACATTCACAATTGATATAAGCAAACCTGGACATTATACATTTCACATTGACATATAAATCCAATAAGCTTTTCAGATACACTTAATCCATAAAGGAAACATTGTATATGAATACATAAATATTGTTTACATCAATATAACTGCAAGAATAAACATTAGGTAAGTTCATAAACGAATTGTGGTTGTGGTTCTAAATAAGTTCAACAGTAATGGAAATAAGTTCTATAAAATGTCTAATAATGCATATAATCATTTCCATCTTGTGGTTGTTCATCTGGTGGTTGCTGGTGTGGTGGTTGTTGTTCTGGAGGTTGCTGTTCTGGTTGGACATCATTTGGTACTTCATTTTGAACTTGAGGATTTTGAAGGTTTAAAAAGTCTTGTGCAGCTGCGGCTGCTGAAGGCGGAAGGAATGACAGGAGGACGCCAATAAAGCCTTCAAACTTTTCAAGCTGCTGACCATATTGTTGTAACTGCGATTTCAGGTTAACAATTTCTTCTGAATTTTGTTGTTGAGCAGTAGAAGATGCCTGTGTCTGTTGGATGTAACTATCAACACA